TATCATTATTTTTAGGAATCAAATGGAAAGGAGACCTTCTACAAATTTACATATGTAGCTGGCCCTTGGTACCATCTGCACAAACCTGTCCATACTGAACAGGTGCAGACTTTCTTTAATGTTATACTATAAATAGTACAACAACTATTTATATAGCATTTACATTGCATTAGTATTATACGTGATATGGAGATGATTCAAAGTATACAGGTGTATTGGTTGGCTTTCTATCATTGTGACAAAAATACATGGAAAATCTACTTAAAAGGAGGCAGGATTTATTTGGGCTCACAGTTTCAGAGGTTTCAGACATGGTCACTTGGCCCTGTTGCTTTGGGCCTGTGGTAGAACAGTACATCATGGCGGGAGTGCAAGTCAGAAGAGGCCTGTTTACATCCTAAATTCTATCTGGGAAGCAAAAAGAAAGACAGGGGTCAAGGTCCTAATATCCCCTGTGAGAGCATGTCCCCAGTGGCCTAACTCCCTTCCACTAGGCCCCATCTCCTAAAAGTTCCACCACCTTCCAATAACACCACAGGCTGATGACCAAGCCATGGCTTTTGAGGGGCATTTAAGATCCAAGCCATGACAGCATATATGTAATCACTGCATTATTTTATAGAAGAGAATGGAGTATCCACACACATTGGTATCTACAGAGGTCCTGAAGCCAATTCCTCAAAGATACCTAGGGAGAACTATGTACATATACATCATACACACATACATACATACATAATATTACATAATACATTAAGTAACATCACATGATAAAGTCTAAAGATGAAAACTGCAGGGTGCTTTGTGAGTACTAAATCAGGAGAATCCTCATTTTAATGGGGGCCCGAGGAAAGATCAATCCCAGGAAGGAACAGATATTTAAGCTTCTCTGAGGACAAGATACTTAAGCTGGAAGTTCATGAATAACTATAAAATACCACAGTGGAGGGACTGTGCCATGAGAGGAACAGGATTTACCAAGGCCCTGCGGTAAATCCTTGAGGTAGCTTGGTTGATTTGATGGACTAAAAGACCAAAGATGCTGGAGTACAGCAAGAGAGAGGAGTATCAGGGGCCCAGACAAGGATTTATTGGCTGGTATAAGAATACTGGGCTTTGTTTTGTGTGGCATGGAATTTAAAAACAGAATTTCATGAGCAGTTTTGCATTTTTGTAAGATCATTCTGGTTGTCTGATGATAATTGTATTAAAGGAGAACAGAAAAGTTCCCTACTTCCTGGTAGATTATTGTCCCAAACCAACTAGATAAAAGATGGTGATGTGCTTTATTGTAATGACAGTGGAGATGGAGAGGGGTTAACAGTCAATGTGTATATTTTGGAGTAAAATCAACGTAACTTGGCAAATGACTGGAACTGGGAGCTGAGGAACTGGGAACAGGACCAGGCTAGGGCTGACTAAGATGAATGACCAGGCTTCAAAATGTTAGCCCGGTAGGTAGTAATGCCATCTACTGAGGTAGGAGACTGGATGAGAAGTAGATTTGTGTGTATTAGTGGAGAACATTTTCAATATTTCACTTTTCATTACTCTAAATCACACACATACATATATGTGTTCTCATTTCCCTTGAGTACATACTAGGATTGGAATTGCTATGTCATATAGTAGCTTCATGTTTATCCTTTTTTATTGTTGTTTCTGGTGCTGACAATCAAATCCGGAACTTTACACATGCTAGGCAAGCACCACCACTGAGCTGCACCCCAACCAAAGCTCATTTCACCAAAGAACATTTTGTTTTCTTGGGCTGAGGACTGAACTCCATGCCTTCAGCATACTAAGCTCATGTTCCACCAAGCTACAGCACTAAATGATATTAATTTTAAAAACTATTTCAATCTTTCTGAAATTGAGATGTATCTTATAATCAAGAGTATCTTAGCATATCCTATAGTTAAGCTGGCAGTATTTCTTAGTGGACAATAAATATGACTTACAATCAATGGCTTCTTAGATTCAATGCTAAAAGGTATTAAGTGTGAGATGTCTATAAAACAGTAAAATAGTGATGAGCAGTAGACATATGTATATTTCAATATGGAACTCAGAAGTGGGAGCTGGGTGCTGGTGCCTCATGCCCATAATCCTAGCTACTCAGGAGGCAGAGATCAGGAGGATCATAGTTCAAAGCCAGTCTAGGCAAATACTTTACGAGACCCTATCTCAAAAAAACTGATCACACACAAGAAAGGACTGATGGAGTGGCTCAAGGGGTAGGCCTTGAGTTCAAATCCCAGTACGGCAAAAAAAAAAAAAAATCAGAAGAGAAGTGGGAACTAGACATAGACGTGTGGGGTGGGGGGGGTCATCTGAAGTTTGCTATTTAAAGCCACAACAGTGAATGAAATTCCTTTAGGGAAAAAACAGAGAAGGCAAGAGGACCTAGGTTGCAGCCTAACAAATCTCAACAAGTAGAAGTTGAATAGAAGAGGAAAAGCCAACAAAGGAAATATTTTTAAATTTATTGTTATCATTATTGCTATATTTGCTATTGTTGCTATTGTATGTCACCATAGGGAAGGCCCTACCCAGACAGGACCTTGTCTCTTTTAAGTTCACTAATAAATCTGAATCAAGCACTTTACTACATTTGGATATTAATCTACATGCCAGATAAATTGGAGAAAAGCCATTCAGAATAATCTATTTTATGAGAAATAACACATTGATTACTCACCAGCTCCTTTGCCTCAAGAAAATCCTACACGAATATAAATAAATGAATAAGCCTTCAGGGTCTTCAGAAATCTGATTGTGATTTTGGATAGAAAATAAGTAAGTGTGTCTTGCATATTAATTTAGGGTAACTGCCTAAAGGCAGAAAAGGAAAAGAGTCAGTAGAAGTACTGAGCAATTAAAGCCAGAAATGTATACAATAATCCTCCTAAGGAATTTGTATCCCATTTGCTGTCACATTCCTACAACATAAGCAGGACATCAGCTGGTAATAAAACTCATCGATCTCCCTTTCTTCACTTACTGTCACTTCACAGATGCTGAATTTTACCCACTCTTTTTCTTCATTTTCCCTTCATATGTCAAATGCCGTAACCATCATATAAAGTTACCATTACATCATAACTTCTAGGCAATGGTACTTACCCACAGGGATTTCTGACCCCCCACCACCACCACTTGACAATATCTGGAGACATTTTTAGTGTAACAACTGAACAGAAGGTGCCGCTGGCATGGAGTGGTTAGAAAGCAGGAACATTGCTGAATATTCTGCAATCCCCAGAACAAACCCCTGTAACAAAGGGTCATTTAGTTCAAATACCAGTGGCTCAGATTGAGAAACCCTGCCGTGGGGATGAATTCACATGTATATGAACATTCTGGGGACAAAGTCCACAGCTTTTCAAAAACTTAAGAAACACTGGCTTTTACGAAGTGTTTGTCTAGGTTGTGGGGAAAAGCAACATATTAACCCTACTCCACAACAGAAGTCCCTCTCTAGCAGACCTACCTCTGCCAGTCAGATTTCCACTGCTCACTGGTCAGTTTTTTGCATTTCCCATCTTCTCCATGTACCTCACCCCAGTATCAGCTAGAGTAGTTTATTACAGCTATGGTGACTAATGATTAAGTTATGGCTTCATATGTCAATTTAAAAACCTTTAACACATTCCGTTCATTTGGCCAATATCCATTTATTTAACATCTACCATTTAACACTGCTGGTCACTGGGCATATGGTGTGAAAAACAAGCTTACAACTTAGTTCAAAGAGACATTAACAAAACTTAAACATGTAATTTACACTGCAGTGAGAAAGGGAGCTTGTGAAAAGTAAAGGCAAGAGAAGCTGAAAGGTGAGGAGGGGAACTGCACACACACACGCATTTCATTTAGCATTTTATCCCACTCAAATGCAATAGAAAGCTAACTCCCTCCTAGCTAGGTAACAATTCTGTTGTAACTACATCCCCATCCAGTTAAACTTGGATATATTCATACTCAATTAACACTTCCTGGCCATTGACCAGAAAATTTGGGAGACTCGAGGTTATAGGCCAGTTGAGAACATCAAATGCCACAAATATAAAAGCTTCCTTTTAGGAGTGGGGAAGAGGGGGAGGGGAGATCAGTAGCTCTAATTAGAAACCAATGTAGGCTAGAGATGTAGAATAAAGTGCATGTCTAAAATGCTCCTTCTGATAATCAGATGTAATAATTGTTAAAATCGTCATCACTCTTAATCAGGTTTTTTTGCCGTGCCTGCAAATCAAGAGAGAGAAAAACAATTTTAACTCTTTCCCAAAAGTATTACAACTCAATATACTGTAAGGAGTCAGTCGGTCAAGGAGACCTGGCCATCAATTTAATGGGGGCGCTGAGCCTTAAATCTCGAACTCACTTAAAACCCCAAGTCGGTAAAATGACTGGGGTTTTCGCGGGAGTGAAGTAAGGGGCGGCTGGTGAGAGAACAAAGGCTGCGCGTCCCAGGTAAGGGCAGCCCACCCTGGCTTCACTGTGGTCGGGAGTCCCTGCCACGCCCGTGGCGGGTGACCCACGTCGCACAGCCTCGGCTCTCCTCTTCTGGACCCGCCGCCTCAGCTGGTGCATGCGGGAGCACTGCCAAGCCAGGCACGCCAGCCAGGGAGGCGAGAGAGAAGGGCCGCGGGGGCCAAGACGGGGCCGCCCGCCGGCTGAGTGAGCAAACAAGCGAGCGACTTGTGAAACACACCGCGGCCGCGTTGCCGCCAAGACCGAGCTCACGCGGCTCCCAGGGCCGGGCTTAGACACCGCCCAGAAGGAGCACGCGGGAGAAGGGCGCCCGGGGACAGAGAGCGACGTCCCCTACAGTTCCCGTCCGTCAAGCTCCGCCCCCTCGCGCTTATGTAATAGGGACGAGCTGCCATTGGCCCACGCAACCGGAAGGGCGCAGGCGTGCGAAGGGAGCGGGGCGGGAGGCCGCCGCAGGAAAGTGAGGGGGCGGGGCCGCGAGGCGCAGGCGGCGCTGGGGCGACTGGGAGCGCGGCGCGGCGCGGCGTGCGCGGGCACGAGAGGGCTGGCCTGCCTAAGGCTCAGGCGGCCGTGGGTGCGCGCGGTGGTGGCAGCGGGCGTGCGAGGCGCGGGCTGTTGTGCTCCCGGCTCTCCTCTTTCCCTTCCTTGGCGGGTGAAGGAGGTCGAAGCGTTGCTGGGCGCGCTCCCCCTTCCTTCCCTCCGTGACCTCCCCGGCCCTCTCGCGCCGCGCGGTCTCTCAGACGCAAGACTGTCCCGGCCCGGGTGAGCGGCGGCGGGGGCGGTGCTTGGCGCCGCAGGACGCGCCGGAACCGGGGTGGGGGCCAGCCGGCGGGGAGCGGCGTGGGGCGCGGAAGGGCACCGGCCTCCCTGGACGCGGTGAGGCCGGTCCCACGCGGGCCGCGGAGAAGGAGGGGGAGCTCGGGCGCCTGCCAGGCCCTGCAGGTGGCCGGGTCGTAGGCTGGCTGCGGGAGCGGAGCGGTAACCTTATCCCGCTGGCGACAGCAGCTGGCCGGTGGCTCGAGGACGGGCTTCCCGCGGCGAAGGGGCCGGGTTTGTCCGGGAGGCGCGTCTCTTGCCAGGTCCGTGCGTCCTGGCGGGTAGGTGAAGACAGTGTGGCCTTTGGTGGCAGGAAGGAGGGGGAGGTCGTCACCGCGGGAGAGGTGGTCTGAGACTCGTGCGCCGGGGTGGGTGAAGTGGAGGGTGGAGGGGACCTTAGTCCTCTCCCCACATGGATGTTTAAAAACTAGGGTCAGGATGTTGAGCACTGCCTGGGCCTCTTCCTCTCAGATGGTTACGAGAAAGAGCCTACTTCCTGGATCCAAAACCTTTTCTTTTAATAACTTGTTTTGTTTTAAAGGGATCTTTGGGGGCAGGACTAACTTGTTGCCTCCTGCGGGAGTTCCTCGTTTTCCAACTCATTCCTTCGACTTACTGTTCCCCTCATTGCGACCTCTTCCCCGCTACATTAAAATCCCAAGAGCAGTTATTTGTAAACGATTTTCTTGCGCTTTAGCCTGTCGCGTTTAGTCAAGGAGCAGTTATGCATAAGATTTCGCAGAAAATTCGATTGGCTTGAGAACAAGTCCTAAGTTGAGCTGTCCAGAAGCAGGTGGTTTGTTAATTTGCATTTCTGCTTTCAGAAAGGAAATCAATGCAGTGTGTTGTCAGAAATTAGGGGCCCATCTCACTGCAGTTAAAAGTATTTGATGCAGTTTCCTTTGCCTAGTGTTAACTTTTTTGTTTTCGAGAAAGAACAAATAGCTACTAGTTCTTTTTAAAGCTCTTAGGTCTTTTTTGTTACTGGTGGGAGGCAGTGGAAAATGCATTAAAACTATTGGGTAAGGTTATATTTTAGGAGAAGTTCGAAATGCAAAAGTTAAAAATAATTCTCATCTCCAGACATTGCTTTGTACAGATCACTGCATGAAAATGTTAGCAAAATAGGTAAAGTCTAGATAGGAAGGGAACTTCTGGAATTAGTGGTCTGCCATTTTTTTAAGATTATTTTTTGAAATGTAAAACAGTTTAAGGGTTGTCCACAAAAGCAGTGTCTTAACATATATAAAATAATACATTGTGTGAAAGAGTTAAGATGCATGGGCAAGCTGAAGTAATCTAACATAGGGTCCTGATAGTAAAACATTGAAACTAAGAATGGTCTGAAACACTGTTATGTCTGCGTGTTGAACACTTATCATCCACACATGCTTTTTAAGAAATAATGCCATTTGACTGGGAATTAATAAGGCTTTGGCTTAAAAACAAAATGGAAGTTTAATCTTAAAGGATTAACACAGCTGGTAATACTTGCCATTGTATGGTGGGGATGAGTTCTTACATTAGGCTAACATATTAAACATTTTTGTAACTGGTAAGATGTTCAGCTGGCTTTCTAGAAAAACATTGATCCTCTTCTACATTTTGTCAGACTTTCAGTTCACTGTTAAATGCTAGTGGGAAATTGTCCAATCAGTATATCTGTTTGTTCATTTTCCCTTTTGGGGGAATGGTGAGTGAAGCTCACTTGTTCCCATGAAATGCTTTTGACGCTATATCCATTAATTAATCATGATTCCAGTTAGAAACAGCCAGCACTCTTTCCTGGTGAAGTTCATGTTGATCCTTGTATGTTCATGTCCTGCGATGATTTAAAAGTTTAAAATGCAGTTACAGTGCTGGTCAAAACCTTACATAGGAATTCTACTTAGGCTCCAATTTCAACATATCAAAAGTACTGGAGACTCATTTGTAGACCTTTTATGAACAGCCTTATCTTGCATTGGTAATAAAAGTCTTAATTTTAAAGGAAAGTAAAAGTAACCTTTTTTTAGTGACTTAATTATTTTTAACTCACATGTTCACTTTAGACTGTCAGTAGTATAAAGTGGTACTTTCCAACTAGTACTCATCCACCAGGTTCATTCTTTTAGCTGGGAACTAATTCAGTCTTGTTTTATAATTTACCCAGCAAGGCAACAAAGATCAACTTTTAAAGAAAATTTGAAATGGTATAGTAGTTTTATGAAACCTAACCATTTAAGAGAACAATTTCCTCATTATTACTTCCTTTAGAAGGATTAGCTGACAGCTCTTATTTCTCTAAAAGTTGTAAGAATCACAAGTCATAAAAAGTACCTTTGCATAGTAATCAAATGATAGGGGAGACAGGTGTTTTTGGCAAATTTTTTAAGATAACATACAGTAAAGTGAACAAATCAGGCATACAGATCAATGAATTTGTACATGTAAACACACCTGCTAACTATCACCTGGTTCAAAATTCAGAACATTTTCAGCATGCCATGAATCCCCCTCCTGTCTTTTCTCAGTCATTTCATAAATGTCAAGGTGACCTCTTTCACTATAGCTTTGCCTGTTTTGAACTTTGTGCAACCTATATTCTTTGTAACTGGCTTCTTTCCTTTAACATTGAGATACAAACATCTTACTTAAAATAGTCATTCTTTTTCAGTGCTGCATAGTATCTGTTGTTTGTATATATACATTAATACACATACAAGGTATGTACTCATTTTGTAATTGATGGTATTTGGACTGTTTCTGGTTTGGGAACAGGTACTCTGAACATTCTTGTGCCTGTCTTGATATACACATATTTGCATTTCTGTTGACTATATACCAAGAGGGTAATTGCATAGTCACTTGCCAGATTTTCACAGTAGTTGTACCTGTTCGCAGCTTAGTAGCATTCTGTGTGAGAATTTGAAAACCCATGCAGTTGCTGAACATTTGTATGACTTAAGACTTCAGCTCTAAAAACAATACTGTGCTCCTTACTCTAATGCCTCAACTTCTGTTTTTAGACATGGCTCGTGGGCAGCAGAAGATTCAGTCTCAGCAGAAAAATGCCAAAAAGCAGGCTGGACAAAAGAAGAAACAAGGACATGACCAAAAGGCTGCTGCAAAAGCTGCCTTAATATATACCTGTACAGTCTGTAGGGTAAGGGCAGATGTAGCTTTCTTGTGGGCAGTTCTTTTTCTGTAAATTGACTTGTATAGGTTAAAATTTTGTAACTATGGCAAAATAGATGGTTTATTTGAAATGGTAGATTGGGGAGCTGGTTATTTTGGGGATCCATCTTCACTTGCCACATTCAACAAATACTTTTTATGTGGTTCTTGTGGCCAGGCTGATTTCTCTAGGTGCTAGGGAAAAGCAGTGGACGAAGTAAAGTCTCTTTTCCTAATGGAGAATATAGGTGTCTTCATAAGGGAATACTTTAAACTCTGTAAGGAAAGCACATCTCCATTCTTACTTTAGATGTGTATCCTGCTGGTGAACATGCTTCTGGTTATGTAAGCAACTTTGTCTCCCCTTCCCTAAATCCATAGTTGGGGTGTATGTTATACTATGTAATATATTCATGTTACCATATGAGGCTCTTAATAGAATTAATGTATTTTATAGATTTGAAGAATAGAGTAAGAACAGGAACTGTGGAGTGCTTGCCATATGCCAGGCACTAATCCACACAACAGCCCTGTGAGTTGCAGTACTTTTCTTATTGTACAGAATAGTAAACTGAGTCATGGGAATTGAGTGATTTGTACAGGTCTTCCAAGCTACTAAGTAGACTATTAAATTAAAAATTTTGTTTATATTGAGCTTTGGTACCCTCACAGTAATGAAATTGAGCAGCTTGTGATTCTCTTGAAAAGAGGGAAGGCAAAAAATAAATTTCATTAGGCTAGTGATGAAGAAGTACTGTGACCTAAATATACAAGGATAGTTCGTATTTTTAAAAACTTGAAACCAAAACCTACTTCATGTTTTATGTAATTGGGCTTGTCGAAGAATAACTACATGAAGATCCTTGCTGAGGGAAATCATGACTATATACCTTGTTTTAGTCATACTGAAATATGTAGTATGGGTTAAAACATCTCTGGCAAAGTAAACTCTGGGTTTTAGGGTTTTTTTAATCCTATCAAATGAGGAGGTTAGCAGTAGCAAAGATGACCGTGAAGGTTCTAAGAGAAGGAAGGTAACATTACCTGTTTGCTGTAAATGAGATAATGTGTTCGGTGTCACATTTCTCTTCATATCTGAAATGTGGGACTGTTAGAATTTTTTTATTCATAAGGTCCTTCTTCATATGCTTGCCACTAAGTTGTAGGATTTTTAAAAAAATTTTATTGTTTTTACATTTACTTATATGTGTATACATTATTTGGGCCACCTCCACCCCCACCCCCCCAAGTTGTAGGAATTTAAAAGCATTTTGTAGTAATTGTCCATCAAGGGCAAGTTCAGGGCTTTAAAAGGTAACACATTTTTGTTTCATACATAAAGTCTTAACTTTTTTTTTTTTTTCCGCAATTTTTAGACACAAATGCCAGACCCTAAGACCTTCAAGCAGCACTTTGAGAGCAAGCATCCTAAGACTCCACTTCCTCCAGAATTGGCTGATGTTCAGGCATAAAATTGTTTACAGGTAATTGAACTTCTTTTCTATTGATTTGTTAGTGTCAGGTTTGAATATAAACGCAAAACTGTCTTCTGTAACTGAAATTAATTTCTGCCTCCTGGCTAAGACTTTATTACTTTCCCTTCTTAAACTAATGTTTAACTTCATTACTGGAGCTTAACAAATGTTACAGTTTATAGAATACTTCATGATTATTAAAAGTCTTTTTTTCCCAGATCATTTCCTTCCCATGTCTTTGAAACATCCAAGTTATTACTACTATAACCAAAAAATGGAGAGAATGAGTATATTCAGGCCAACCTTGGGCCAAGAATGAGATTTCGCTACAAGAAAATAGTTATTTCAAAAGTATTTGAGGAGTGTTCCTCCCAGAAATGATGCAGACCAATTTCCTGAGCACATTTTTACAGTTGCTTTAATTATGATGCTTAGCAGAGCTTCTAAGTATTAAAATGTAGAGCACAATACAGGCATGTATTTGCTTTAAAGTCATCAGTTCACACATTTTGTGCAGTTGTGTGTTTTTTTTTTTATCTCTAAATAGTGTTTGGGGTTTTTTTGGTAGTACTTGGCTTTGAACTCAGGTCTTTCTTGCTAAGTCTACCTCTTGAGCCACACCTCAGCCCAGGCATTTTTATTAAAGTAAATTCATCAAAGATCTGTTTATAAAATCCAGTCAACAAATCTATCAGAGACTGACTTGGTAGTCTTTCATCTTAGGCATTTGAAGTGCATATAAGTTGCATTTGTTCAGTATTTATACTCACTGAAAATTTTTCTTATGTTTTGTAGGTGAATTCATGACACCTTTGATTCTACTGTCTCAGACCTTAGGTAACAAACCTGCAGCTGCTTTTCTAACAAACTGTTGATCAGCAAAAATAAAGGGGCTACAGAAACACTCATTTTTATGCTGTTCCCTTTTGGGCTTCATGCAAAGACAATTCTGTGTAAATGTACAGTTGACTCTGATTTGGAAATCTGAAAATCAGTCCATCCTTCTTATAAAAAATTTTTTTACAATTGTAATTATATTGATGTTCATATTGTGTAAAATAACTCATTTAATAAAGTAGTACTTTGATTTTACAACATCACAGGACAAATGGTTCTAAAAATTCTGTTCTAACTTTCCTTATTATTTGCCTTATAAAAATCTAATGAATCCATCAGCTAGAATTGCAAGTGCAGTTCTTATCTCCCTTTCTCAGCTGAGTGGCAGGTTCCTTAAACTAGAGCAGACTCATTCATTAAAATTGTGCACATGAGTTTATGGGCAGCTGATGGTCTAGGCTGAACAATGGCTTATCTCCTGCTTTAGTATGTTGCAATTATGTATCATTGCCCACCTCTGATCATTTCCTATGGTTCAAATTGGAATAAAACTTGCTCTGTGAAATGGCTGTAGCTCCAGCCAGGGGTGCCCTGTAGATAACTGATGAATTCATAAAAGTGATAGTCAGTGAATCCTTTTGAAAGATTTGGTTCTGAGGTATATGCCATAACCAAATAATCATTAGGTCTGTTTAATACAGAAAAATCTGATGGAACAAATGTAAACTGGTAAAAATCTTTGTTTTAGAAATTGTAGTAAATTCTTTGCAAATTGTTCAAGTTCTTTTGAAATGGAAACTAATTTTTGAAGGAGTTTTTGGAAGCTGTTATTTGACCAATTTGATCAATGAAGTTTTTTGTTTTCTCAGGAAAATTAGAATGACTTGAGGCTGGTTAATTCCCAGAACACACCCTCTCCTTTGTTTTCTAAGTTAAATACTGATTTTAGGAATTTACTTTGTGCTGGTTACTAAAATCAAAGACTATGTGTACAGTCTTACTTCCATCTGAACTAGAAAAGTATTAAAGTAGGCCAGTATTCACATTCTTTTGGCTATAAGGATGGGGAAGTAGTTTTGTTCGGTTAGACAAGGTGAATCCTACCCAATTAAGGAAGACTAATTTTAGTGTGCTTTTAATTGCTTTTGTGAACTATTGTACAAGTAAACTGCTGTATCTGGGTTTAAATTTAAAATTAGCATAATAGGAAGAACAGTAATTACTGGTAACTGCTTAAAGCCACAAAACTGATCCTGTGGATGACAAAATGCATTCCCTCTGACTGCTGTAACTCGTCATTGCATTCATTTTGTAGCTTTGCATATTCTTACCACCTTGTGTGTCTTCACTGTAAGTTTAAAGTAAGGTATTTGCAAGGAAGAGCTCCAGTGCATATAATTTCTTAGCAGTTCCTATTCTTAGACCCTTATTTTAAAAGAGTCCTTTTGTTTCATGTATTTAATTTCGTAGGTTTCAGATTTAATATCGGTCATTTCTTATTGTGTCAATTACCAGAACATTAGAATTTATTGATTTTCTCTGGTTGGATATTATGGAAGTTTTGGTTAAATTATAATTTAAAAGGATGCATTGGGCATATATATGTTTGTTTTTTAGTAACAAATCACTTAAAACTCATTCACAAGTTTTGGTTTAATTTTTTTTTTCATTTGTTTTACTGATTAATTTAGAGTAAAAGTTTTTTGTTGTATTTAATTCTTTATAAGCAGCCTAAGATACCATATTTAACTATATTTCAGTAATGGGGAAGTAGTTGATTGATCTTGCATAAGACATTAATTCATAATATGGAGAGTATTAGTATATTCCCCTTTTTATTGTGTTTGAGTTAAACCTGCTATAAAGAGAAAATTAAAAGTCTTAGACATCTTTGTTACTTAATTTGAAGATTCTTTAATAGATCATAGCAAAGTTTGTTTTAAAATTGTTAATGGTGTTTTCAAAGACTTGATAAAATACACTGAGAGAGAATTGGTCCATTTGTAATTCTGTATTTACATTAGTTGCCAAAAAGAATGGGGTTGAGATTAAACTTGTTTCCATTCTCTTCATATGGATATATATTCCAGTGTTTAACTGACACACTGGGCTTCAGTTGTGTGCTGTAATGTCCTATTAAAGAAGATGTTAAAGAAAAATAAACTAGTCGAATTTCTTCCACACTATTAAGAGGTTTTTAATATTGCCTCTTTCTTTTTTTCTTTCTGAACTTAAAATTGTTTCTTGAGTGTAGCTCAGTTCTAAGAGTGGCAAGAGATTTCTTTTAATTTTTCACTGATTTCCCTGTATTCTTTGTCTATTTTGAGTCTGTGGAAAACTTTTAAGATTGAACAGAAAACAGCTGTCATTCTGAAATGGAATTGTGAGTTGTGGAGAGGGGAAGTAATTGAAGTAAAAATGATACAAAAATATTTAGACCAGTTAGTTGAATTAGAAGGTTAAGCCCTTGATGACTCAGATTCAAGATAACAGTTTGAGTTTTATATTAAAGATTCTGTACAGGTAACTAATCAAAACGTAATTCAAACCTAAGATGTAGCATGAGTTAAAGTAGAATTTACCAACATTACTGCTTATCCCCAAAGGTTCCTTGTTTTTTTCATTTTTATTAACATATGGAATATATTGTGCCTGTTTTTAAATGTGGATAATGTAAAGGCTTTTTTCTATAATACAGTGAGTAACCACAGTCCAGACTGTAATTGAAATATCATATTTATATTACTCAGTCTGAATTAGTTTATTTCTGCTAGTTTTCCAGTTTGAGGGCTCTTTGTTGTCTTTGTTTAGTGTTTGGTTCTGAAGATGCCCAACAACTAGGGAGTTGTGCTCTCGGTGACTACATTCTGAAATAGTTCAGCTAGCTTTATTTTACTATAAAAGTTTCAGAAAAATTATAAGAACTTTCAGTGTGTAGATTTAATAAAACATCTGTTTTCTTGAATAAGAAAACATGTTTTATTAATAAAAGTTCATCCTGTCAGGGCTGGCGGAGTGGCTCATCTCACAAGCGTGAGGCCCTAAGTTCAAATCCCAGTACCACCAAAAAAAAAAAAAAAGAAGTTTGTTCATCCTGTCATTATTAATTATGGTTACCTTGTTAAAAAAATATCTTCTATTGTTATTTTTAATGTTCTTTGATAAAATGTAGTTATTGCCTTTTTTCCCAGCCATTACATAGTATTGCTCCAAAGGTAAAATCTATTATCTCCAGAGCAGACTTCAGTCATCTATTATTTGTATTCACGTGAGCATATTTTCAGTATGAATTATGTCAGGATCATTACCTTCTAATTATTTTTTATGTACACTGCATCATTATTTCTAATGATTTAGGTTTTGTAAACCAAGTAGGTATCTACCACTACCTTCTGTGTTCTATATTCAGAATGGGACTTGCATTTTGGATTCTTTAAAATTCTGAGTCTTAGAAGTGCACCATGATATTTCCTCTGCAACAGTGTCACTTTTTTTCAAAAGGAGGTGTATAATCGGGTGCCCACATGTCCTGGTTTGCCAAAAAACAGTTTTGGTTCAAATATAGTTTAATATTAAATATGAAATTAGTATTAAATATTATGAAATAGTAAGATGTTTTGGTATACATCTTAATACTACCTCCTTTTACTCATGTTTCTGGGTCACCTCAAACAATTAATGTGCTTTTGTTTTTTCCATAATAAATTTTAAGGTTTTTACAATACTAGAAATTCCACTTATTAAATGGGAACATGTGGTACCGGCAAGATTTTTTTTTGTTTTTGTTTTTCTTTTTTGAGACAGTGTCCTTCTATGTAATTCAGGCTGGCCTTGAACTCAACGATCCTTCTGCCTTGATCTCCCCAAGAACCAGGATTATAGATGTGCACCACCATACCCAGAGTCTACTTCAAAAATTTTTTAATCCTATTGAGACTTAAATATTTAGTAAAATGAGGTATTTTAAAATAGATTCTAAAATTTTGACATGGTTTAATTCATAGGCATTCACATAAACTTCATATTGTTTGTACCAGGTTCAGACTTTTGTTCTCTCAAAATCTTTTCAGCTAAAGGACTTATATGTAGTCAGTTGAGGTGAGAGTCCTACTTGTAGGTACAGGACACTTTTGCTGATGTACGCAAGGAAATCAGCTACAAATTATTAAACTTCTGAACTAATAATATTCAGACTTATAGCAAATCTTTCTGGTTTTTGATACAGGAAACATCTGCATTTTTTTAGTTGGATCTCTACAGTTTTCTTGATAGCATCTTAATTTTTGAATAATTTCAGACCTACAGAAAAAGTATATAGGTGTACACCTCACCCAATTTCAGTTTCCCCTAATCTTCTTTCTTTCTTTCTTTTTCATTTTGCAATACTGGGGTTTGAAGTCACGGCTTCACGCTTGCTAGGCAGGCAGTATACCGCTTGAGCCATGCCTCCATCTGCCCATAATATAATCATAAGTCTTACGTTACTGTGGTATGTTTGTCAAAACAAAGAAACGAACATTTGTGTGTTTCTATTAACTCCAGTTTTTCTGTTCCAGGATCCAGTCCAAGACACCACATTGCTCTTAGTTGTCATTTCTCCTGAGTCTCCCCTGGGCTATGACAGTTTCTCAGTCTTCCCCTTGGTTTTCATGATCTTGACAGTTTTGAGGTATATGGATTAGATGTGATGTTGAATGTCCCACAGTTTGTGTTTGTCTGATGTTTTTCTATTGGTTTCATTGGTGTGACAGGGTTTTAAAAAGAAGACCAGAGAGGTGTAGTGCCCTTCACATTGTATTGGGGTTACATTGTCACCAATGATGTCAGTAGTCATGTTAACCATCATCACTTGGTTAAGGTGTCTTTCCTGTTTCTCCACTGGAAAGTTACTATTTATTCTTTTATCACTTTTTTTTCATGGCACTGGGGTTTGAACTCAGGACCTTACACTTGCTAGGCAGGTGCTCTACCACTTGGGCCACTCCACCAGCCACTATTTTTTCTTTTAAACATGGGTAATTTTGGGGAAGGTAAATTTAGCCCTTACTCAAAAAGGAGTAGAGACTTTGTACAACTGTTGGAGGGGATAGTATGTATACTATTTGGAGTTCTTTTATGAAGAAAATTTGTTTCCCTTTATTTGTTAAATCATTTATATCATAGACTCATAATCCAATACTACATTATTTATTTTGTTACTCAGGTTATTCCAGCTTTGCTATTGGGAGCTCTTTCAGGCCAGTTCCTGTATCTCTTTGATATGCCCCATCCTTGTGTTTGCTTTTTGAGAAGTTCCTTGCTTTTAATACTGTAAAGATGTTCCAGGCTCATCTGGTGTTTTCCCTGGCCAGCTCCATAATAAGCCATTTCTCCAGAGTCCTGATTTCCTTTTATTGGATAATATTTAGAAACCCAGATCTGTGTTCTGGGTGTGAATTGGTTCTGAGTTCTTGTTTGTTTTTAGTTATGAAATATTGAAAGTCTACCATTAACTAGTATTAGGAGATTGTTGGAAGATAATCTTTATCCCAGATCTTTTGGCGGGGGGGCTCTGACTTTTTGCACACATTACTGAAGCCTTTGCTTTTAAGTCACCACCATGTTTATTGAGAATAGTAAACGTGAAGTTGCTTTGTATGCCATAAAGCATTCCATAAGAGCAACATTTTGTGTAAAGAAATACAGCAAAAATCTTCAGTCTTTCAAAGGAAAGTACATTCTGGAGATAATGCATATCTTTAATTACATAATTTTAAGCTAGATGGCTAAGTGCATGGTGTGTTTCATAGATAACTTGTATAGGAGTACAGAAGGAGGAATAGTAGGTACAGGAGGGAGGTGGCTTGTGGGTTGAGGAGGTCAGGCCTATGGAAGGACAGGAGCCAGCTGGGTGGTGGAGAAAGGAGTGGAACAAAGGGGAGAAGCAGGGTGGGGGTGGCTGAGTGAGCAAAAGCTCAGACAAGTGCATAATGTTTCTCTGAGGGAGAGCGTGGGCCAGTCAGAGCCTGAGGCTTGAGAATGACAGCCTTTGAGTCCATGCGTGAGAGTGGGAGACGCCATTAGAATGGGGCCAGATTGTGCAGTGTGCACCCTCAGTAAACCCTTCACATGACTCTTGACACTGGGACCCCTTGAGTCTGGGGGCAGGGAAGTGACATGATGCAGATATGTTAGGAAGATTTCTCATTATCTGAAAACTTGTTAATGCTGCTTTGATAGAGATAATTTTTCACCCTTTTATACCTCCCTGTTGCTTACAGATTGCTGGCCATTACTTGATTTTTAAGATGATTATAAATGAAGATGAACAAGAAAGAATTTTGTTCTGCTCTAATGCAGTGGTGCTGGTAGGACCCAAAGAACTGTATTAGGGATGTTTGCCTGTGCACTAATTGATCCCAGACTGCATTGTGTCTATACATGGTATTTGTTATCTTCTATGTCATTATAAAAGTAATAAATTTGGAGGACTGGAAACATGCCTCAAGTGGTAGAGCACCTCTCTAGCTAGCACAAGGCCTTGAGTTCAAGCCCCAGTACTGCCCTCCAAAATAACACATTTTGAAATACATTAATTTGGAGAATATGGTAGAGTTGAATTTTTAAAATGCATTGGTACAAGAATTTTAGTGAATAAGTATCTCACATTCATGGACACATACACGTATGTGATTTTTAAGCTAAAAAGCAGATTTTGGCATATCTGCACTTTACTTTTTTATTTAACATTATGAGAAGTGGAGTTATAAACTCTGGGTAAGTAGAATTTTCATGGTCGCATAATGATTGGGTAGATTTGCCATTGTTTTAACCATCCCCCTGTTGCTAGACATTTAGATTTTCTCTAGTTTGAGTAGATTCTACATTTAGAATTGTATATTTTAAAACTTTAACACTCTCCTAGGAGGCAAGTGATGAGATGAAAAGTGTGTGTTTCTGTGTGTCTTTATTGCTCTTTGTTTGTTTATGACAAGGTTCACTTTGTAACCCAGACTGCCTCAGCCTCCTGAGTGCTGGAATTACAAGTGTGTTCCACTACACCTGGCTTTAAAATATTTTATTAAAATAGAGAATGAGGGAGAACCAGAAGTGTAGACTGGATAGCATACAGGAGCAGGCAGGCTGTCCTGGATTAACAGTGTTGGAATGTCCTGCATTACCTTTGTTTGACTACGAACACTTTTTCATGCGTTTACTCATTACAGGTGTGCATCCCCATGCCCAACTCAGAAGTCAACTGCTAGGTGACTAAAGTGTAAAATTACAGTTGATATTTAAGGCATATTTCTTATCTAAGACTTGGTTTTCATTTACTGATTACTGAAAAGTAATTTTTATTGCCTTAAGTTAAATTAGCAAGTTACAGTAACAAAATAGTCTTCATGTTTCTAGGTCTTACTTCTGGTCTGCTTTTTGTTAGGTTCTTCTGTTTGTTTATGTATATGAATTTTCACAGTAACAAAAGTAGACTGCATTTAAGGTTTGTTTTGAAAAACCAGAAATATTTCTGATAGAAACAGAGTTCCTTAAATAGGATAGAAGATTGTAAAACTTGAGAATATGAAGTTATAGTCAAATGACCCAGTGAGAAGACTGGAAAACACCCAAGTTCAAATCTAGTCCTGCTTCTAACCGAGCCTGAACAGGTTACCTTCTTTTTGAGCTACAGTGTTTTGGTCACCTTTTGAAATGGAGAAACTAGGGCTGGGCCATGACTCAAGTGGTAGAGAACTTTGTCTAGAAAGTATGAGGCCTATGTTTGATCCCCACTACTATCAAAATAAGATACAATAAAACAAAATAAATGAAATGGAGAAAGTAATACTTATCTCAAAGTGTGGTTATAACTTAATGAGTAAATGAGTTAAGTGTGTATTCACACATTCTCATTTTTGCCCATTTCTGCTTATGCTTTTTCTTAGGTCTGAAGTGCTTTCTCTCTACCTAATCCCAGTCTCTTCCTGTGGAGATGCTACCCGTTCTTCAGGGATTAACTGTAATGCTGGGGTTCAGCACTTAAAAAAATGTGCTAAGTGTGAGGAAAATGGATACACAGTAATCAATATGAAACAAGACAGCAAGCTGTAAGAAATTGTCAAGACACAAGTTTTAGAAGGGCAAAGCTCCTGAAAAGTAATAAAAATTGTTTTTAGTTATGCAACAATAAGAAGAGCGAGGTTGGGGTAGTTATGCCTTAGTAAGTCTTTTTATTTGCCTTTTATTTTCTAACGCTCTCATTGTAAAAATGAAACTAATCCAATATGACAAAACTCAGAGGACATGATTTCATTGGGTTTGCACTTGACCTTGATTAATTACTACTCAGGAGGCTATTTGCAGAAGTTGACATCAAGTCCTAACCACTGTCAATCCAAGACAGGAAGCTCTCCAGATCAGAAATAAGTAATTTGTTCAAAAAGCATGGAAAAGAGAATTTGAGGAACAAAATAAATTTACTCTTGGTCTCTAGGCAAATATTTTTCCTGTGAACCTCCTTTTTCCTTAGTTAGATCTTGGATTAATTCAAGTATGTTTTATAATTAGTCTCTTCTCCCAAACTCCTTTTTTCTCTGCAACTAGAAATTCTAGGACACAGTCCCAGCCTCATCACTTCCTATGAGGCCTTTAAGGGCTCCCCATGGTACATCAGATAAATACAGACTACTGGGCTGCTGATATGTCCTCCTCAGTCAGACTCTAGCCTGTACTTAGCTGCTTTTGCCATCACACTTGATCCCATACTCTGGCCAAGATGAACTGCTTGCATTCTTTGAGTGACTCACTACTTTGTGGCCTCCATACAATCTTCCTGCAACTTAACTTCATTCCTTTGAGCCTCCTCTTCAGTGCTGTCCAGTGTAATGGGATCATACCTTCTAAGTCTCATAGCCACTTGGAGTAATCTTTTTATCTCTTCATCATGTGTATACACTTCTTTAGGATCTTTAAGAACAAGAATGATGGCTGGTGGAGTGGCTCACGTGGTAGAGTGCCTGCCTAGCAAGTGTGGGGCCCTGAGTTCAAACCCCAGTGCTGTCAAAAAAAAAAAACAAAAACCAAGAATGGTTATGACTGAGCATGCAGCTATTTAAATGTAGCATTCCCTAAATTGCAACAAATCCTTCTCAGTACTTTTATGGATTAATTTTTGTAAAATGTTTTAAATTTTACTTTGAATTACTAAGGCCTTAAGAGGACTGCTCATGGAGTCTGGCATAGTGACTCGTGCCTGTAATCCCAGCTACTTGGGAGGCAGATATCAGGAGGATCGCTGTTCAAGGCCAGCTGAGCAAAAAGTTGGTGACACTTCCCCCATGTCAACCAAACAAGCTGAACAGGTTGAGCTCTCCTATATTGCTACCTATGTAATGTAGAAGGATTGCTGTCCAAGGTCAGCCTGGGCAAAAAAAATACTAAGGAAAAAAAAAAGGGTTAGGGGTGTGGTTCAAGTAGTAGAGGCCTTTCAAGCCCCAATGCCAACAAGAAGAAATCTCATTTGGTCAATGATCCCTATATCTATAGAACACTATAGTTCACAAAATGTTTTTTACTTTTTGAATTGCATATTAAAATAAAATTGAAATTAAGGGACAGCTTGGTAATACATCTTGGTTTTAGCAAGGCATAGTAAATTATCTTGATAGCAAGATTGTGTATGGGTAATGGGTACACTGTAGTAAAATTAAACTTATTTTAAACTTCTGTACTGAGATGTTTGACTCAACTTGCTGATTACGGTGTAGGTCTGCCCTGTCCGTGTGTGTGTGTGTGTGTGTGTGTGTGTGTATGAACAGTTAACAAGTGACACAAAGTATGGAGAGCAAGTTAATAGAGAATTACAGTTCAGAAAGATTTCAGGCTGAAGCACTGAAGTAAAACCATTAAAAAGTAGAAATAGAAATCCATTTAGGACTTCAGAAAATTGCATTGCACAGGAGTCCAAAATATGGACAGCAATCTGTCTTGGCATTTTTTCATGTGAGATCCAATGTGTTAGTCTATACCAGGCTTGCTGTGAGTCAAGCATGACTTCTTTTTAAAAGATAGGAATACAGCCTCATCTAGGAGAAAATGCTTATTGATTTTGTTTTGTTCTGTTTTTGATGCAGGGTCATATAGCCCAGGCTGGCCTCAAAATCAGAATCTTATCTCAGCCTCCCTAGTGCTGGTTTAACAGGTGTGCGCTACCACCTGGCTGAGAATACATATGTTAGTCATGCAAGTCATCTGTATACATCGATAGCTCGCCATCTTTTGAAATTAATGTTTAATTCCGGGTGTCTTTGTTGTTTCTAAGTGGCACATTGCTTGGCAGGATTCTGCACAACAGAGTAAGAGGTCTAGGATGGTGAATAGAATAAACCATACTTGCAAGGGAGATACCTGGAAAGTTGCTCTGTTTTGTTCCAGGGTCAGATCTGATTACAATGCCTAGATCTATCCAGTGTCAGAATGGCTTGCCTTATGGAGTGTGGACACTTTCCCTAAAGTTCTTAGCAAAGAGGTTTTCTAGTACTTGTTGAGAAGGCTTGTAGATAGGCTCTGAGATCCTACTGCACTTGGCAGTCCTCTGGCATCAAATATTTCACAGCTCTGGAAGATAGTTAGATAGCTCTGTATTCTGAACAAATTTTGTCAAATAGGAAGAACTCTCATACTTTTTTTTAAGCATACAAACTGCTCAATCCTTGTCATCTTTTTCTGATGCTTCTCGTTTTAAATGGGGAGAACATTCAGGCAAAATAAAGTCTAGATATCTTTATCACACTTTGACTTAAGCTGTAGTTCTGATTTTAGCTGTTTGTGTTCCATGTTTAAATAACTTAGTAGATGTTAAGCTTAGTGTAGAAAAATTATCACCTGAAAAGTGGTATTGTAGTAAGTATAGTTTAGGTCAAGACCATTGTTCAAGCCCGTAAACTTCACAATTAAATTTTAAAATTCTATCAGTAAAAAAAATTTCATACTAGCAATTAAATTACATGCATAGGACTGGGGGTGTGTCTCGTGGTAAGAGAACTGCCTAGCAAGCACAGGGCCCTGAGTTCAAACCCTAGTACTACAAAAAAAATAGAAAGGTACACAAACACACACACAAACACATATGTGCTTTGGTTGTAGTTACAGAACCTTCACAGGATGAGATGAAAAAACCTTGTAAATATGTTTTCTATATACCAATGAATCATCTTGTATTGCCCCCTAGGGTGTACATGCCTTTGGAAACCATTGTTCTTTGTCATAGAATCTTGAGAGCTTTGTTTCCCATTTGCTTTTAAGCTAAAGAGTTTTGGTAGCTCACAGATACATAGATCTTTGTAAATCAATGAAAACCAATGAAATGTAAGAGTTTGTACTGTATATAAAACATGTTGCAAAACTTGTAAAATGCAAGGCACAGTATGCCTTTGAAATGTACACTGGTAGAGGGTACATAGGAACACTTTCTGAACATTTAGTGAATAGTTTGGAATATGATATTAGGACTTAAATGAAGACAGGACTGGAGAGAGATTTGCATAAACATGCATAAAGATGAAGCCTTAGAAACAGATGATATCTTTAAGGCAATATGTAGTCAAAAGAACAAATAAGCCAAGATTAAAACTTTGGAAAGCCCTCACTTTTAAGGGATGGGTAGAGAAGAAGCTAGAAGTAACTAAAAGAGAATCAGGATAATATAGGTTCTCAGACATCAGAAGAGCTTGGGCAAGGACCAGGTAGGTAGTCCAGTGCACGAATTACCCTTCGTCCATGAGTGCCTGAATGGGGCAGGTTGATAGTTAAGTAGTTCTCCAGAGCAGTGCTCAGCATTTCCAGCGTTTTCTCTGTAGCAAGGGAGTATGGTTTCAAGGAAAACCAACTGAAGGCAAGGAAAGGGCAGATTAGAGCCCTGCATGGAGGAGCACGAAGTTTCATACAGCAAACATTCAGGAACAGGATCAGGGCTTCCTGCAGACAAGACTGCAGCCCTAATGACCTATTAAACCTGTCATCTGGCAGAAGTGCTCACAGTTCAGAATGTACTGTGGCCTCACTTTTTTAGGTTCGGTATACTTAATTTATGTGTTGGCCAGATTATTTAGAAATGATTCTAACACATCTAAATATATCAACCTGTGTGACTTAACCAGTGTTTTAGCCTTGAGACTATTTTTTCTATGTATAGAAGAGTATATTTACATACAAATATATAATTTTGTGTAAGTTATTAAAATATAAAACAATTTTCATGGCATGGAATTATATGATTATAGAGGTTATATGCATTATCAAATATCAATTATTCTATGTCACATGTATACAATATACTAGACTTTAATGGTAGGATGAAAACAGAACTTCCCTGAGCTACTCTGACTGTAGGTTGAACTAGGAAAAACAACTGACCTTGTGCCCTTTTCAACCAACAGTTTAAACCCTGAGGTCCATTTTACTAGTTTAGTTAAAAAATGTGGGCTGGTGGAGTGCTCAAGTGGTAGAGCACCTGCCTAGCAAGCATGAGCCCCTGAGTCCAAGCCCCAGTACCACCAAAAAAATAAATAAAAGTGGTTATTTTCTTGAAAGGATTCCTGGAAGTGGAATTTCTGGGTGAAAAGCAGGCAGGGAGCTTTCCCACTGGCTGTCCTTTGACCTAGTTTACAAGGCCAGGTTTCCCATGGGGAAGTAGTGGGGGACCATTCAAATTCTCTGGTCTGAGTTGGCAAGTATTGCAGTGTCTCTGGCCCAGCTTCCATAGCTCTAAAGCCATTTCCTCCCTTCTCACAGTACACTGCTGTGAGAAGGACTTAAAAGATGTGAAAATGGTTTTGTAAATAAGGCCCTTTGAGGTGTGGTGCTGCGGTTCTCCAGGGTGGGGTGCCATGTGCCACTGTGGTTTGCAACTATGAGAAGCAAGTTGTTAGCTAATGTTCATTTTACCAGTTAGGATGGATTTGAGGTGATTCCTTTAAGAATATCACTCCCTAGCAATTCAAGGTGTTTTCTTGAGAGCAAAAAGAACCTCTAGTTTTAGCCAGCAGGTAAAGATGTGTGGGTTTGATTGGACGCATCTCTGTGTGTCACACATGGATGTCACATGTCAGTAGGGAAATGTTTGAGAACCACTGAGATGTAGGATAGTGGAGACTTCCTCAGGCTCTCGGTTCAGTGCATCACTGCCTTTTAGAATTCAGCCTTGAGTTGTAAAGACCTCACCCCCTGAACCTCACTGTCCTCACCTCTAAAATGAGGACAGCCACCTGCTTTACTGAGTAGTAGTGAGCAATTAACTGTGTAGCTAAACATGGTAAAATTTTTTTAAAAGGGAGTGCAGCCCCTAGAAAAGGCGGCTGCAAAAATACATTGCTGGACCAAATGTCTACTCTGCATAGGTATAAATGCCCAAAATAGAGTTTTTCAATTATTAATAGTGAGAAATGTATATTTTAGCTTTGAAATGGCCTGGAACTTTTCTTCATAGTATCTGGTTCTGTACAGGTCTTAATGGAGGTACTTTTTAAGTTACAACAGTAATTTATGCTTCATGGTAAGTAATTCAAGCAATACAAACAAGTAGCAAATTAGTGAGAGTCCCTTTCCCCATCCATACCATGGCACTAGTTTTCCTTTGTTTTTGTTTTATTTGGGGTTTTTTTGTTGTTTGTTTTGTTTTGAGACAGGCTCTCACTATGTAGCCCAGCCTGGCCTTAACTCTCTCCTGCTTCAGCCTTATTAGTGCTGGTATTAAAGGCATGGGTGCCCCACTACGCCTGGCCAGAGTAGGTTGATTATTTTTGGTTTTGGTTTTCAAATTCAAAATGCCACCATTTCTCTTCCCCTTCCCCCGTCCTTACACTGTGTGAAGGCAAAATCTCTAGACCAGTGGTCCTTATACTAACAAAGACTGCTGTTGAACTAAACTGGGCTTTTGTGATTTAAAACACCTTAAAAGCTCCAAAGACAGGCTCCCTAACTCAGTATAAAACCAGAGTTTAATTGAGCTGTGTTATGAAAGGCTCTAATAATAGAGCCTGCCACTTGAAGGAAATGCCACAGCCCACTGGTACTGCAGAAGCTCCCCATGTGAGGGAGGCCCTGCAGCCTGATGTCACAGTCAACTCTCCCAACTCCATTTACGTAAGGAGTATTCCATGGCATGATTATATAAAAGGGGAGGTTGCTGGTGTTTTCTTGTTTAGTTCTTAAAAATCTGTAGGCCTAAGAGAATAAATCAACCTGACGAGGTCCTTGTTATTATTCCCAGAACATTCCAGGAAGAAGATAGATTAAGAGGAAAATCTTGAGTTTCAAAGGAAATAGTCATCAAGACAAAGAAGTGACCTTTATGTGTAAATATAGGGCTTTGGCTGTTATGTTCTAAGTTGGTTCTTCATTATAATAATCTAAAGTAAAATAAGAAAAAGCTTAATGGCAAACATTTTCACTTAAAAGATTGAAATTAGTCTGTGCCCAGAGCTGATTTTCAGTGATAACAACCTGTATGGCTTTGCCAAAGACCATGTTGAAATACTCTAGCCTGACCACCCCACATGATGACCATGCCTTAGCCACCCTGTCCTCCATCTCTTTCTGGCCTTGCAGAAGTAGGTCCTTGCTGGACCTGCACCAGCACAGTGGGCAAGGCCTAGTCAGGTAAGCCCAGTACCTGCTAGTTGTTAAGCTCGGTATTCAAAGTATTCATCTCTGTCTGCAGCAACAAAGTAGTCAAATGGCACAGCAGTAGATAATACAAAACCCACATTGGGTTCTTTTTCTTTGTTTTAAATACTGAATGCAGGGATGTGATGTATGGCTTACGTGACTGAAAAATGGCCAGGACACCAAGCCTGGGGAAAAAATACCCCTTCTTGCCTAACTCTCCATCCCTGTCTCTTTCTCATACACACAGATTTTCTTCTATTGCATCCTGAGAGGACACGGCCCATTTTGCTTTGTCTTTTTGTCTAAAGTGTGTTCCTTAAGTCTTAATAGCAGTGCTAGCAGAACATTGTCAGTGTTGTTCTCCTTCCTGAGCTGCTCTCTTAACATGAAGATCCTCTCCCCACCCCCACCCCCCGCCCTGCTTTCTTTTAAGGAAAGGCAAAATGAGATTCTGACTTGCTACTTTGTCTATCAGATTTGTTTTATTGCGCCTTTATCGGGCTCTCAAAGATGAAACACATTGTTGTTTTAAGTTTTGGCCATTTGGGAGATGATTGTTTCTTGTCATTTGGAATCAAGCAACCTAATTTTCTGAGCCTGGAAACCTTAAATATTTGGTATCTGATTTATTGGAGGGTACCCAAGGGACTTTGGAAAAGTACCATGATCTTGCTGAGTTTCATTATAATGGAGACAACACCTACCTTTCATGGTTGTTTTGAAGCTTAAATAAGTCACTTATGTATATAAGATAATTTGCTCAACAAATAATCACCCAGTGCCTTCTGTGGGTTTAAGCAGTTTACAAAATAGACAGTTTTGGTATTCATGGAGCTTATGCAGTGTAGGAATAAACACATGCTGACTTCAGTTGGAGAAGAGGAAGAAATGCACTAAGGTCACAAAATTAGAGTGCAGTTCTGCCTCTGAAGAGATCAGGTTTTATTCGCCACAAAATTAATGAAGCTTTGTAGATACTAGCAGCTACAAATATAATGTCATTGGTGCCAAGACAATTGGTAGTAGTTGGTGACTGATTGCTAAAGGATTTATAGAACCTGAGAATAAATACCAGGCTGCTGTTCTGTGACATGGTCCTGAGAAGTGTATCAGTAGTTACCCATTCTACTAACTCCCATGGAGACAAATATTAAGTGAAATTTGCATCCTGGATAGTAAATCAAATGCCCCCTGCAGGTAGGGTTTGTTGTTTTGTTTTTTAATCTTTTCCAGTGGGAGGCCATGTTTGGAAGAGGCATGAGAACTGATGGATTCATACGTAGTGTCAAATAGGGGAGTTTTTTTCCCTAGGGCTGGAGGTGTACCTCAGTGGTGAAGTGCTAGCATTTGTGAGGCCCTGGATTCATCCCCAGTATGGCAATTAAAAAATGAATAATAATTTCAGAGTTCTAATATCCCTGGAAGCCAATGCCAAAACTGAATTAGAAGTGTAACAGAAGGCTTATGGTAGAGCACCTACCTAGTAAGTGGAAGCCCTGAGTTCAAAACCCAGTACAAAAGTGTAATGGGAAGGAAAACCCTATGAAAGATAGAGGGCGAGAGAGCAGGAAGAGACTAGGGCAGCCTTCACACCTAAGAAGGGAGTGCAGACTAGAGGTGCTGGAAAAGAGTATAACAGGTGTGTACCACTCTAGATAGGGCACTTATCACATTCCCCTCAGGGGACAGGTAATCTGGGCCTTGCAGGCTGCAGAAACAGCCAGTACAGAGGCCCTGAGGCGGGAAGAAGCTTCATCTTCTAGGAGTAGAAAGTGTCCCAGTGTTAGAGTGAAGAGAACATGCCGAGGGCATGGGATGGCATGGGATGAAGTTTTTTGATGAGCAGGAACCAGATGAGATGAGGCTTTGTCAGCCATGCCAGGCTTTTGGACTTTGAATGCAGAGAAAGGAATTGGAAATGTCCTGAGTAGGGGAGTGAGGTGATCTGATCATGTGTGCTGAGAGACTTTCCCTGCTGTGTGAGGGGTGTTTGGGAGGGAGCAGATGCAATGGTAGACCAGGAGTAATGTGTAATAATAGAATACAGATGAAAGACAGTAGAGATTTGGACCTGGCAGGAGATACTTCAAGGTTGAACCCACTAGACCTGCTGATGGCTTCTCTGCATAGAGTGAGAGAACAGGAAGAATCCAAGGTGCCACTAAGGTTTCTGACTTAGCTGGCTGCTTGATGATGCCCTGTTACAGAGATTGTGGAGAAAATGAGAGAAGGAACAGATTAGGAGTGTGTGAGGAAATTAAGAATGCAGTTTCAGGCATGAATTTGGGATGATCATTGCTAAATGGCAAAAGTAAAATAACTGTACTTGAAGCACATGTTCAGAGGTATATATGATCCTGGAAGAGAATTGTCTGAAGATAGAAATTCCATATTTGTCAACATGTGGAATGTCTTCATCCCACTGAATTGGCTGAAGTCACTTAGGAAAGGATTTTAGATGGAGAAGTGAAGAGACTCAGCATCAGGTGCTGAGGAAGCCCAACATTCCCAGGTGAGGTGAGGATATAGGAGGCAGGAAAAAGAAGGTGGACCTAGAAGCTCAGACAGGAGGGCCTTCTCAGAAAGGAGG